GATATCCAGAGAAAAGGCCATAATTAGAGCGGAAATAGGACAGGAAATTGGGAGCAGATTTGTAGAGTTGGGAACAGCCATTAAAGAGAATTTACCAATGGAAATAAACAAAGAAGTTAATAAGCAGAATAAAGAGATTGTTAGGGAGGTAGAAAGTGTTAAAAGGCAAACTCAGGATTATGAGGAAAAAATTACCATTATAAAAAATAATATAAAGAAGGGATTGCAGAATTTGGAACTGGAAATGGGTATGCATGCAAATCAGGCGGAAAAGGGAGATAGAGTATTACAGGGACAAGTTGAGGAATTGAGAGAGAAATTTAAAAATGCAAGTGAGGAGATTCAGCGTTTGGAATCAAATCTAGGACAAACAAGAGTAGTGAGTACTGTGGTGCCGAGTTATAATGATGGGGGAATAAAGTTTGATGGAAACCTGAATCACTTACATCCTAGAATATTTGTAGATATCATCAAAAATAAGGTAAAGAATGTAAGGGATCCAATAGAAATGAAATTGAATATTCGAAACATGTTAGTGGGCATGCCATTATTATGGTTTTGCAATAATGAAAATTCCATAAATAATGTGCAGGAATTTGAGGCCAAGTTTATTAACTATTTTTGGGGAGAAAACCAACAGGCTAGTTTCAGGGAGCGGTTGTATTTTGGGAAATTCAATTATGAAAAAAGTACCAACTACAATCTGTACGCAATGCAGTTATTCCAGACAGCACAATATTTAGAACCGGCTATGCGAGAAGAGGAGATTGTCCTATACATTGCCAGGCAATATAACCATAACATGGCAGAAACAATAGCTCTCCACAATATAAAGACGATGGAAAGTTTGACAGGATATCTTCAGAGGATTGAGAGGAGTGTAGGGACGCAGAATCGAAATGGACAAGAGCAAGTGACATATAGGAATAACACAGCAAATAGACAGGGATATGTGAATCGAGGGAATAATTATAGGGAAAGAGAATTTGAGAGACAAAATAGAAGCAGGGATTTTACAAATAGGGGAGAGAATTTGAACAATGTCAGGAGAGATATCGGACGATATAACTGGGAACGTAGACAAGGGAATCCAAACAATGATAGAGAGAATAACTGGAGACAAGGGAATGACAGAGGCAATAATTGGAGACAGAACCAGGGAAATTATCCACAGGAGACGAGAAATAGGGAAGTTTACAGAGAAGGGAATCCAAGATATAATAGGGGGGAAAATGAGGAGAGAAGACAGGTGAATGTAGTTAGAACAGAGGAGAATAGGGGGGAAGCAAGTGTTGATGCAGAAGGGAGAAATTTTGCTTAGACCGCTCCTATGTGCATAATATTGTCTACTTATCAAAGTATGAACATCCAAGGGAGTTTATTAGAGATACTGGGGAATTAAATAAAAACAATAACACTAATACTTTAAAGTTTATTGAAGGGTACATACAAGATTCAGTATACAAGTTATTATTATAGATACAGGTTCAGAAGTAACTCTAATCAACAAAAACATTGTAAATAATTTAAATAATGCAATATTATGACACGAATTTGGTATTATAAGATATAAGTTTTGTAAATAGAAGGATAATTAATAAATAAGCATATCTTGAGATAAATTTGATAATTAAATAATTTATTAGGAACAAATGTACAGAATAATGATAAATTTATATAAACAAAAAAGGTTGATTTATTTTCAAGTAGATTTATAGGAGTTACAAGTATAAATAAATAAGCAAAGTACTATGGACAAATCGATATTTTGTAGAAATTGGGAAATAGGGAATATTATAATGATAAATAGTATATGCGAAAATAAGATGAAAAATAGAATTATATGAAATATTGAAATATGAAATATAGAGAGTTGTATGTAGAGATGATGAAATGGATATTATATGCGGATACAAAAAGAATAAATAATAATGCGGCAATGAATAAAGATACTGAAATAGTATATGCGGAAATAAATGAATAAAGATATAAAATAAAGAGGGGAACAATTATAAGAATTTCTACGAAATTAGTACGAGAAATAAATAGTACAGGAAAAGAAGTAATGAAATTGGGAAAGTACTTGGAAATTTGATTCTGAAGTTGATATAATTAGTGAAAGATTTGTAGATTTTGTTTGGAGAAGTCTGTATTTTTCATAGAGTAAATTATTAAAAAAAAAAAATATTCAAGAGATATGCTTATTAATAAAAGTCAGTTTATTGTTATGTTAATATTAATAAAATGTTTAAGTTTATCGGTAAGAATTTAGATTTAGTAAGTGCTGATAGTTAGCACTGAACAAAATCCAAATTGGGGGGAAGTTGAAATGATTTCAATATGTCAAAGAGGATATAACTTAAAGGGATTTTTATATGAGTTTGTTGTTCATGAATTTCATGAAGCCATCACAATGTGGGGTCGACTCTGAAATAAAAGGGAGAAAAGATTAGTAAATTGCTAAATAAATTAATTTTGACTTACCTGGTATAGTGTTAATAATTTCTGAATAGTATAGTTGCCTAGTGTATAGGTGAATCGTCTAAACCTTAAAAGGAATAAAAAAGAAGAATTCTTAAAAAATTATTTAAACATAGAAATTTTAAAAATAAACGTCAGAAAAATAAACTGTCAAAAGTCTGTGGGAACTAAATTAATAGGGGTTTTGTTAAATAAATTACAATGATGTGGAGATGAAAAGAATAAATTATATTAGTATTGTTAAGTTTTATATCTGAATTTTTTTTTTAAATTCCCAAATTAGATGTGATTAAAGTGCTTATGAGAAATTAATGTGGTTTGACAAATATGTCAAAACAGGACAGTTTTATGGTTGAATAAAATAGAAGACGGAATGAAAAAAGAAAGTGGGTTGCTGTTAGCAACGAATAATTTTGGTGGTTGGTGCTAGCTATGGCGGTTAACAAGGAAGAATAGGTTGTTGGAGGCGACGAAAATTTTGGAGGAAGAGCCCTAAAAAGGTGGAATAGTCCGGGAGTGCTTTAAAATCGTTTAATTATAATTTAGTTTTTCCACATTTTCAAATAGAGATATCCAGAATTTGTTCCAGAGAGTAAGAGAAATTTTGACTTATAAATTATAATTGGAGTGCAGAAATGTCATTTAGATTGAAAAAGTAAAAATTCATGAATTAACTAATTGCGATAGGCCTTAAAAATTGAAATATTAATGATCATTAAAATAAAAATATAATAGTACGTACCTTTAACTTCCGAAGAGAGGATAGATATTCCAGTATCACCGATTATTTTGCGAGTAGTTAGTTTTCTTTAAAAAAAAAAAATCAGAACTGTTTGAAAGTGAGTTTGGATAATAATTTTGGGGATCATTTGAAATTTTGATTATATTTTAATGCTAGTTATAAGTCAGCGGCATAAAGTGTTCAGTTTTCTTTTCTTTATATTTCATTTAAACACTTTATAAAGTTGCAATAGTCATTTAGATTTAAGGTAATTGTAGAGAGTTTCCACATTTTGTAATCAAATTCTATTTTCACGACACATTAAGGTTTACACGATTCCTATTTTTGTAAATTTTTAAAGGCAACCCAAGTTGCAGACGAATTTTATTGTTTATATTAAATTTGTTCAATATTAATAAATAACGTGCTTCATTTGGGTTAATTTATCAAAAATATAAAGTAAATTTTGGTTTAATTTCTTTTTGAACTCTACCAGGAGACTACAGAGTTGACGTCACACAGTGACAGATTGCTTAGAACAAATAATTGAGCTAGCCGAGGTATAGTATATTAACAACGAACTACATACTTTTAAAATTCACTTCAATTCAATTAAAATTATATTTATTAACAATAAAACATAAAAATAATAAAAACAAAACTATTACAATATAATATATAATATAACATTTAAATACATTATAAAATGTACTATACGTCTCACGTCGTTTGATTTGATATGTCGTACGCTAGTATTGGACAAGTTGTTTATTTTTTTAAATTAATTAAATTTAAAATTAACAAAACAATAGACGTTTCGTTACCGATTAAGGTCCATAAAATTTACAACTGAACAAAAATTTGTTATTAACAATTTAATTGTTTAAATGATTAAAACTAATAAACATATATCTTTTTTAATTATGTTTTGTCTTTCTTTAAAAAATCAAACAAACTTTTAAAAATTAAAATCGGACCACTAAATGTCCAAATATTGCAAATTTATTATTAAAAAATATCAAATTATCGAGTATATCAAACATTTTTGCTTATAACTTGGCTTTTGATTTCATGTAATCAAATGAACTATTTTACAAGTAAAGTCGTCTCAAGAACGCAACTCAACAATATTGGCAATAGCATTTTAAAGTGGTCTACTTTAAAATGCATAATCTATGTCTGAATTGTCAATATAAATGAGTCAGATAAAATTAAATTATTAGAAGAATTTTTCACTAAGTAACAAAAAACAAAATTTGTTTAATTTACTGTTTGTATTTTGAGAGCGATTGCCGAAGTGGCAATTAAAACGTCAATAAACGTACTAAACTTCTAATTGTGACTTATTTCCCATTTAAACAGTAATTACTGTAAAATGCCTCAAAAAATAGCTTCAGAACAATATTAAAAAAAATAATAACTTTACAAGCTCCCATTTTAAAGGATTTTTTATGTTTTTTCGGTAAAATGGTGTCACTTTTCCATATATTTTACTGGTCTTTACCTTTAATATTCAAAATCAATTTCTCTGGTCTATATCAGGACATGGAAAACAGATAAGGCTGTAACAAAACCGCAGATACCTACACATTTCTATAAGTTACTGAAATACAATTTTTTTACAAACTCAAATATAGGTTTTGCTTTTCATTGTAGTTTCAAAAGAAATTCTAATAATATTTCTCTAACAATTGATTTCTATTTTGCGAACATAATGCTTGCGTGCGTATGTTATGAATAAGATTTATATTCGCAAAATATCAGCTTTCCAAATACTAATCTTTTTAGTCCGGCTTACGAACAAAATATTTTCATCTTCCAAGACCTTTTCGAGGATATTTTTACCTGTTAAAACCATAGTTACAACAACCAACGGCATTTCGAGATGGATTTTAGAGGGAAAGAATATTTTCCTTTGTGGAGAAAGGTCGTTTCGGGATCCAGAGAGATGGAGCTGCACCATTGGGGTTTAGCGGGTGTACCAACCGACCCGCTCGACCCCCAATCCCTTACGAGAGAGCGACGTCGGTCATATAACCCCTGTTATCCTCCCTTGGTCGATCTCCAACATGGGCGCTCGAAGAATTAGTTTCGAACCGATAAAGGTGCATATCAATCACGGACCTATATGCCCGTCAGTCAAAGTGCAGTTATGTAAATTCTCGGAACTGATTGATTTCTGATATAGGATTTGATAGTATGTATATTGGTATAAATAGGAAAATATAATGGAATATTTACAGTCGAAAGAACTACAATCTACGAGAAAACATAAATCTAAACAAAATTTTTATTTATACAGTATCTTTAAGTAAGTTGCAACAACAGTGGGTGATCAAATTATTAGAGTCACTTGTTAGAGTGAAATTCAATTGTTTTTACAAAACGAGTATATAATTGAGCTGTATAGTATATTAATGCGTTTGTTTTTATTTGATTATCTTGTAACACTTTATGAAAGTACAATAAATATTCTGGCAACAGTGTCAAAATTCTGACAGCCGTATACTATTTTTTGTGAACTTATCAAACATTGCATGTTCATTGATTACGACTATCGCCGCTTCTCCTCCCCCAATTTCCATCTTTTTCTGTCATATGCGGTTGCCTCTTCTAAGTCTCTTGCCGCCATTGCTTCATCAATATCGTTGCGCCAACTTCTTCATGGTCGTCCTCTCTTTCTTCTTTCAGGAGGGATCCATTTCAGTACTCTTCTAGGCCATCTGTAATACTGAACCATTAAGTGTAATACTTTATGGTTCACGCGTCGCTGCTCTGCCCTTGTTTATTTCTTCCCTGATTTTATCTGCGCTATTTCTCTTCTTGTTGAAAATGACCCCCAAATATTTGCAGGATTGTACGCCTTTGATTTTTTTTCGTCTTCCAATACGAGGTCACATATTTCATCTGTTCCCACTGAGAGATATTTACATTTTGTCATATTCATGTTTAGACCTGCCACTTCATATTCTTCTTGCAGGTTTTTTACCATATAACTAAGATCGTAGCTGTCTTCGGCAATTACTACCTGGTCTTCCGCAAAGAAAAGTGTATAAAACGTGTTTTCTTCCACCGTTATTTCCCATGTTTCTACATTTTTTTACCCATTTGACTTAGGATCTGTCTAAATAGATTTTAAATAAGGTGAGTGACAGACAGCAGCCTTGTCTTAGTCCCTTTGTTGTTTGAAAAGGAGAGGTGATTTCTTGTCCCATTTTAATTCTTCCAAAGTTTTGTTCGTAGTATTTTTGAGTTGCGTTAATAAGAATTGGGTTTACTTTCAAGTTACCCATTTCTATCCATAGTTGGGAGATCGGTACACTGTCATTGCTTTTCCATCTATTTAGCTATATGGTTCTCTATTTGTGAGTCTATGTGGTAATAGACTTCCTAAATTAGTGACAAGGATCAATATTGTCCTTTCTTGTCTATTGGAGAGATATACGATTGTCTCCATTCTTGTGAAACTTCTTCCCCGTTTAAGCATCTTTTGAATAATTTTCGGATCATTTCAAACAGTTTTGATGATCCATACCTAATCAACTCTGGATGTATTCCGCCTGGGTCTGAAGATTTTCTTAATTTCATTCCCTTAACTGCTTCTTTCACTTGTTCTATTAATATTTCTATTCTTCCTTTTACTTCCACTTGTTCATTTGTCTGTTTAAACCTTTCTCTTCTCTCTGTTAATTCTCAAAATTAGTCTATGTAAGTTCTCAAAATGCTCTACCCATGTGTTCTCTGGTATTCTATTTAAATAAATAAATAGCGGAAATAAAAACTTTATTATTCAACACTAATCACTCCAACAGAAAAATAATATCAGTTTCTAAAGTTTGAAAGACAACTCTGAATCGTATAAAGAAAATACTTGGCAAAAATTTAGATTTGATCCCACGGCGCAAACAAAAATGTGCTTGAAAAAAAAACACCACGAGATAAAAGAAAAATTTTAGATATTTCCTTGGCAAATGGAAAACAACTTCGAAGGATTTTAACGAAAATGGTGCAGGAGTCTGGCATCAATATTTCACCAATGACAGCTCGTTGGCGATAAAAGGATCTGGGGGTTTTCAACCTGTCGCCCTGCAAACCACTACTCACACCAGCCATAAAGAAAAAGGCTTCAATGGGCTAAAGATCATAACGATTTTACCAGTGATAATTTAAATCAAGTAAATAACATTGTTCACTATTCTAAAATAATAATAATATTTCAGGTTTGTTTTTCAGACGAATCTACCTTGCAGATCTTCCTGAATAGAGCTGAATTTGTAAGGACAAGACCTGGCGAAAAATACAAAGCGGATTGTATTGTAAGGACGAACGGTAAAGCCCCACCTGAGATTATGGTGTAGTCTAGGAGTCAAGGAACTGGTAGACTCTACATTGTCAAAGTAACAATGCGGCAGGACCAGTATTTAAGAGTACTGCAAACAAAAATGCTTTCCCAGGTCTAGGAGTGGTTCCTGAATAAGAGTTTACGTTTATAAATGACTCGGCACCATGTCACAAGGTAAAAACTGTTATAAAATTCCTTGCTGACAACCAGATAAAGATATTAGACTGGCCTGGCAATTTGCCAGATCTGAATCCAATAGAAAATCTTTAGAAGCTCAGGAAGCAAGAAATTTCTAATCAAATTATATCTACAAAGTGTCAATTGATAGAGCACTTAATAGCAGTATTGCACAGGAGTGGAACAATTCAACGAAATTGTCAGAAATGCATAGAAAGTATGCCAAGAAGGTGCCAGGCAGTCATTGCTTTAAAGAGTGACACTACCAAGTATTATACTTAAGGCAGAATACTTTGGTCTCATATTTGTTGCCAAAACTCAAAATTGAAATTACATGTTATAGGTTCTAGAAGGTTAGGCTCTAAAAATAAAAATTCCACTATGTTTGGTCAATGAAAGTACTCAATTTTATTGATTCCATGAGAATCGTAAAAAATGGCAAACACTGCACAATGTTTATTTATTGAAAAAATTTATAGAAACTGACTTTATTTGCTGCAAACTAAATAAATTGCGTCCAAAGTTGCTTTGTTTTCTTTTGAAACGCACACTAACTTTTTCGATAGGACACTCTGATCAAAAGATATCGAATTTTTACTGTCAAGTTGATACAAATTTTATATAAAATTGATTTCGCACGCGTAGCTGACATTCAAAATTGCCGGTAGCTTCAAGCGTTGTTTCTGAGAGAATTTTTTATTATATACAACAAATGCTAATAAACATTTTTGTTTAGAATTATCTTGGCTACATTTTTTACTTGTAACATTTTTTTCTATGACGTACAGATTCTTGGTAAATCGATTTTCGTTTCCCCCTACTATGGGACGTTTTAGAAGGGGAAGCCGGGGATAAAAGTGGTAAACTTTTTTGCACATCTTTGGGGTCCCAAAATTAACATCTCAGCAAAATGCTGGTTGTTTATATGATTTCAATTAGATGATAATTCAATTTAGATGAAAAACTGAAGTTGACGAGAAAGTTTTAATGGAAAAATACGATCTCTCTCTCTTGTCGTTTCCTCATTGCTGAGGATCGTGATTCCCTACAATGCGGGCTGTCAATTCTCTCCATCTCTTGCGATTTTGGGCTGCTCTCATGGACTCGGAAAACGTCTCTCCAGTGGCTTTCTGTACTTGATCTGACCATCGGATAGGTGAGCGTCCTCGGCCTCTACGTCCTTCTACGTTTCCGCACACAATTAGTCTTTCTAAGTTGTCATTGTCTCTTTTCGCAATGCGGCCAAAAAACACTGAGAGGAGAGTCTGGTCTGAATGTTTAGCTCTTCGAGAATCGACTGATTGGATCTGTGCTCCGTCCACGAGATGCGTAGCATTCGTCTCCAGCACCACATTTCGAATGCGTCAATCCTTTTCCTATCCTCTGATTTTATTCCGTATGGCAGGAGGCTGCATTGCTTAAGGAAGATCCTAGATACGTGAACTCGTCTACTTTCTCGAATTGATTTAGGGCGCCTGTTGTTTGGAGGATATTCGCGTGGTCCACAATCATGATTTTTGTTTTCTGATTATTAATCTTGACCCCACACTTGTTGCTTTCGGTTTCTACTCTCTTTATCAGTCTCGACATCTCCTCTTCAGATGTTGCTATCAGTGTTGTATCGTCTGTGAATCTTAAGTTTGAGATCTTTTTCCCTGCAATGGAGATGCCGCCTCTCCATCCATCGAGTGCGTTCCTCATTATGTATTCTCCATATAAATTGAACAGGTCTGGAGATATTATGCAGCCTTGTCGTACACCTCTGCTGGTTTTGAAGGTATCAGATTGCTGGTTTTCAATTCTTATTTTAACTGAGTTATCTTCGTATAAGTTTTTAATTAATATTGCCAAATGATCTGGAACTCCCATCTCATGAAGAACTGTCCAGAGAACTTCCCACTGTTACACAATCAAATGCCTTTTGGTAGTCTAGAAAACAGATTATTATTGGAATTTTAAATTCGCGGGCCTTTTCTATGAGCTGCCGCATATTAAGGATTTGCTCCCTCGTACCCTTCCCTTTGACAAAGCCTGCTTGTTCTTGGGGAATTTGGTTGTCTAAGTACTGTTGCAAACGGCGTTTAATGATTCTTAGTAATATTTTGCTTGGATGGGAAATCAGTGAGATGGTACGATAATTACTACACTTTGTAGTTGTTCCTTTTTTATGGATTGGTATGCACAATTATGTGCGCCATTCTCTGGGCCACTTTCCGCATCTCCAAATTTTATTACAGAGTTTCCACATTATGTAACATACGATATGAAAAATACGATAACAAAGGCAAAAAAACTGAATATTAAGAAAGTTTTAAAACAAAAAAATAAAAGGAGACGATTGATTATATATTGTGACAACA